TTGGAGGGCGCTCTCCTGTAAAGGTACGGACCATTTTGTCTTTCAGCCGGTCTAATCACACAGCTTTTTGTTCGAGCTTCCCACAAACGGCGCCAATGTTTCGGCAGCTTCGCAGTCCAACACTGTTGAAGTCCTCAGCTGCTTCTACACCTAAAAATCCCGAGGTTGTTTCCTCGGGGAAAACACTCCAACGCTCAAGTCAGCAATACTCAATATTCTAGAGAGAGATGCTCTCAAGGAGTAATTGCAAAGAGAGAAGCGTAGAGATTAATTACCTTCTTTGGAGGTGGTTGGGGGGTATTTATAGCCCCAAGTGCTGACATGTATCTGCACATGTAAACCTTTCATTGGCCCACGTGGTGATGCCCACGTGGGTATGTCCCCTCCTCTTGGGCCTGTGGGCACGTAGTTGGGCCTACTGTATGTGGCCCTCAGAGGGCGTTGGGCCTAATCCCAACAGTGGTCATTGAACGAGAGGACCTTGATTGTTGATGCAATTTCTCATCCAAACAGTCCAGGTTTTGGATCCCACCTGTTGTTAGTCTTGACACGCTCTCATGTAAAATAGCCACGTGAATTTTTCAAGCAGGGAACTTTGACTAGCCACGTGAATTTTTCGAGCTGGGAACTTTGAATTGCGATCTAAAGTTTATTACGTGGCCATTTTACATGAGGGAGTGTTGGAGAGTGCAGGAGATGGACGACCGCACGTAGCAGTCCTCTTACAATTAATAAGATTATATCAAATAAGCAACTAAGTTGCATGGAACATCCATGCACCAAAGAGTTTATTTATAAATGTTATTCTCGTGTAGTACATACTTTTCAAACTCGTTGAATCTCACCGTCGCTCAAGAAATGATGGTAGCTCTTTTGGTCAGAGAACCACATTCCAGGGAAGAAAAAATGGGCCTTTTTCCTATTGCACCCTCACACCGTTTTTCCTGCCTTTTCATTGCCTTTGTTTTGTTGGTGAAGGTGGAGGTAGCTGTGGCTCAAAATAATTCTACCACCACAACAATATCTGTGAACGTGGGTATGGTTCTTGACTTGGACGCATGGACGGGAAAGTTGGGGTTGAGTTGCTTTAACATGGCCCTCTCCGACTTTTATTCCAATCATGGTGACTACAGAACCAGGCTGGTTTTAAACACAAGGGATTCCAAGGGAGATGTTGTTGGGGCGGCTGCTGCTGGTGCTTACTTTATCCCCTCTTTATTACTCATTTTCCTCTTAATTTGTTCCCTATTTTCTCTCAATGATTTGAACCTGAAATTACCTTATAAATGATTTATCAATGCTCATTTTTATGAGTTTGACAATCTCTTTAATGTAACTTCTTCCATTTCCAGTCATTTTCGAGGTTGGGAGTAGTTTAGATTTAAAAAAAATAAATTTATTTTGGTGTAACTTTCAAAGAGTATCTGATATGATTTATACCTTAATCTGTTCCTTATTTTCTTTCAATGGTTTGAACTTGGAAATAAATGAGTTTTCGATGCTCATTTTTGTCAGTTTGACGATCTTTGTACTGTAACTTCTTCCATTTTAAGTCATTTTGTAGGTGGGGTAGGAGTAGTTAAGATTTAAAAAAAAAAATTAGTATAACTTTCTTTCAAAGAGTATCTGATATGATTTATGGGCAGCTCTGGACTTGATCAAGAATGGACAGGTACAAGCAATCATAGGGCCCGAGAATTCAATGCAGGCAAACTTCATCATAGACGTCGGAAACAAAGCTCAAGTACCCATCATCTCTTTCTCCGCAACCAGTCCTTCCCTTTCCTCCATCCGGCACCCATATTTTTTCCGAGCAACACATAATGACTCGTCTCAAGTCAAAGCTATTAGTGCCATAATCCAAGCCTTTGGATGGAGAGAAGCCGTGCCCATATATGTAGACAACGAGTTTGGAGAAGGAGTCATACCATATTTGTTCGATGCCTTGGAAGAGATCAATGTCCGAATTCCCTACCGGAGCGTTATTTCTCCGCAGGCTACTGATCAAGAAATTGAAGAAGAGCTACGCAAGTTAACGACAAAGCAGACTAGAGTCTTTATAGTTCATATGACCCCAATTCTTGGGTCTAGGCTTTTTGCTATAGCAAAAGAGGTTGGATTGATTAGTGAAGGGTATGTTTGGATAATGACTAACGGGATGACTAATCTGTGGAGTTGGATGGATCATTTTGATATGGAATCATTGCAGGGTGTGTTAGGTGTCAGGAATTATGTTCCAAAATCAAAAGAGTTGGAAAGTTTTAAGGTTCGATGGAAAAGGAAATTTCTGCAAAATAATCCAAGCATGGTCAATGCCGAATTGAATATTTTTGGGTTATGGGCTTATGATGCTGCATTTGCACTGGCCATGGCGGTTGAGAAACTTAACAATGCAAATTTCAGCTTTGAAGAGTCAAAAGCTGTTGGAAGTGCAAGAACAGACCTTGAATCTTTGGGGATTTCTCAAAATGGTCCCAAACTCATCCAAGCTTTGTCAAGTACAAGATTTAAAGGCCTCAGTGGAAAATTTGAGTTTGTTAATGGGCAACTTGAACCCTCTGTTTTCCAGATTGTTAATGTGATTGGAAATGGTGAAAAGGCAATTGGGTTTTGGACGTCCAAATATGGACTGATTAAGAAACTGAATTTTACAAATGTTAATGGATATTCTACTTCAAGGGCAAATCTTGGAACGATCATATGGCCAGGAGATTCCCATTCCATTCCCAAATTGAAGAGGTTGAAGATTGGTGTTCCATTGAGGAAAGATTTTAGAGAATTCGTTAGTGTACCACCGGGTTCAAGTCCCAATTCAAGTCTGAACCCCACAGGCTACTCCATAGATGTCTTCGAAGCTGTTATGAAAGCAATGCCATATGCCGTCCACTATGATTTCTATGCCTTTGTAAATGCCAACGGAGAAGCTGCCGGAACTTACGATGATCTGATCGATCAAGTCTTTTATGGGGTAAGTAGCTAACCCAGTTAGTTATTAAATTGTCATTGAATACTGCAATTTGTTCTTGACAGTTTTGTTCTCTGTAGCATCACTCTTGCTGCTCTGATGTACTACTAAGGTTTGTTTGTCACTGCTGTATTGTGCCGTAGTGGTAG